ACTCATAGCGACCCCCACAGGGTTTCCAAGGCTGTAAATCTGTGGAAGTCGTTTGCCTCACCTTCCTCCCACGGAGCAGCTGGTGGGTGTGCACTGCCGACCTTCTGGTCAGCAGCCATATGCCTTACCCCCTGCACCCCCAGAGCTCCTGCTAGATACGTATCTGTCTCACTGGTTTTGCTCCTCTATAAACCCCAAACCAAGACAGTCCCCTGCATGGGGAACTCCGCCTGGTTCCCCCAGAGCACCGCCCTCCCCCGGCCAGTTCCCCCAGGGCCATGGCCACCCTCGAATGCCCCAGAGCCCCCCAGGCCCCTCCGCTGTCCCTGTGCTGTCCGCCCGTGGGCTGCCCCGCCCCCGCCTGCTCCCTCCCGGGCCCGGGCCTCACAGGTTGTCGGGAGGCTGAGGCAGAGCCGCCTTCTTCCGCAGGTCCTCCAGGCTCTGGCCCAGCACCATGAGAGCAGCACTGCACAAACTGGACGACGAGTAGCTCTGGGAGCGGAGAAGCCAGGGGTCACCTGGGCCCGGCCCCAGGTGCGGCCCCCATGGCCCACCCCCCACCCGCCTGCCCACCTTGGAGTCGATGAAGGCCTGCACGGTCAGGAGCTGCACCGTCCGCTTCTCAATGAGGCTTAAGAAGAGGCCAATGTCCCGGTCGCGCATCTCGGTCTTGACCCCGAGGAGGTCGTTGATGACGCTGCTGTCGCAGTTGGCCTGGGTGAAGAGGAACTGGAGACCTAGGAGGAGGGGCTGCCATGGGTGCCAGTCCTGCCCACCTCCGGCCCCCAGTGCTCCATCTATGACGTCAGCAACTAAGGCTCCAAGACAGAGGGTTAGGAAGGAGGGAGAGAAATTGGAACCCTGTTCCATTTCTGGTGGAAAAGCAAAATGGTGCAGCCACTGTGGAAGACGGTTTGGCAGTTCCTCAAAAAAGGGAAACACAGAAGTAGCACATAGCCCGCCTTTCCCACACCGAGGTATGCACCCAGAGAACTGGAAGCGGCCACACCAACAGACACGTCCTCCAACGTCCACTGCAGCACCTTTCACAGAAGCCAAAAAGTGGAAACAACCTAAATGTCCATCAGCAGGTGAATGGATCGCCAAAATGGGGCAGACAGGCACAATGGAAGGTTCCTCACGGAAAGAGAAATGAAGCCCGGATACGTGCCAGGACACAGGTGAACCCTGAAAACACGCTGAGCAACATTAAAACCAATGGCAGTCAAGTCTATTCTGACTCACAGCGCCCCTAGAGGACAGAGTGGAACTGCCCCGCAGGGTTTTCAAGGCTGTCAATCTTTATGGAAGCAAAGCCCAAACCACACCCACTGCCTGGAGTCCATTCTGACTCACAGCGCCCCTAGAGGACAGAGTGGAACTGCCCACAGGGTCTCCAAGGCTGTCAATCTTCACGGAAGCAAAGCCCAAGCCACACCCACT